CGACGATGGTGCCCCGACGAAGAAAAATGTAGCACCAGCACATGCTCGAGCCCAGCATGTGCTACCGTAACCCTCGATCCGGTCCGATCTTAGACTGAGAATGAACTCAATATGCCTAAGTCAACCCACGAAATGATAGTGCGGGTGCTCAACCGGCCAGAGGGGCGGGATGCACAAAAAGGGGATCGGTTGGGTCCCCCTCTACGTGCTGCCGATCCTGCTGCCACAACCCTCGATCCAGTCTGATCTCAGACTGGGAATAAACCCCATATGCCTAAGCCAACCGACGAAATGAGCGCACGGGCACTACGCCGGTCAGAGAGACGAGATGCGCAAGCCGTGGATCGATAGGGTGGTAGGTGGGTTTAGGCACATCTTCATATTTCTGCATGCCAATGCCATTTTTATGGCTTGTAAATTCATACAATGGTCCCTTAAGCCTTCACGTGAAGTTTCATGGCAAGACGACTCATTTTTTATTTTTTATGATTTGCAAAACTTTTTAAGGTTCAGGATTTTTTAAAATTTTTTTGGAAGGAGTTTTGGCCCCAAACATGGTAGACGCGATCCTTGTATTTTTGTTGGCGTGCACAAAAAAATTCAGCTACAAACTCGAAGTGTGCAAGATTTTGTGACCATTTGAAAAAAGTGTCCCCATTTCAGACACTTTAGTGGCTACTGGTAGCAAGCCTGTAAAAGCTCAAATGCTCTTTAAGGGGGTGTGAGTTCTCGAGGTTTGATGAGGGATAGGGGGCCAACATAAGGGCCAAGTACCAGCACCCATCGCACATCATGTGCGCACACTCCCCTAGCACCCCTAATCGTCGAAACCCCAATGCCATCAGTCAGGTTCTCCGATGATGCTCCGGTGTGGCGCCCCGACGATGAAAAATGCGGCACCAGTACATGCCCGAGCCCAGCATGTGCTGCCGCAACCCTCAGTCTGGTCCGATCATAGACTGGGAATGAACTCCGTATGATTAGACTAGGAATGAACTCCGTATGCCTAACTCAAACCACTAAACGAACGTGTGGCCGCTCGAACAGCCAGAGGGCCGGGATGCGCAAGCCGGGGATCGACTGGGTCCCCCTTTACGTGCTGCCAATCCTACTGCCACAACCTTCGGTCTGGTTCGATCTTAGACTGGGAATGAACTCCGTATACCTAAGCCAACCGATGACACGAGCGGGCGGCGGACGGGCGGGCACTACGCCGGCCAGAGAGATGGCATGCGCAAGCCGTTGATCGATAGGGTGGTAGGTGGGTTTAGGCACATCTTCATATTTCTTTATGCCAATGCCATTTTTATGGCTTGTAAATTCATACAATGGTCCCTTAAGCCTTCACGTGGAGTTTCATGGCAAGACGACTCATTTTCTATTTTTCACGATTTTTGAAACTTTTTGCAGTTCGGGATTTTTTAAAATTTTTTTGGAAGGAGTTTTGGCCCTAAATTGGTAGACATGATCCTTGCATTTTTGTTGGCATGCACAAAAAAATTCAGCTAAGAAGTCGAAGTGTACAAGATTTTGTGACCATTCGAAAAAAATGTCCCCATTTCGGACAATTTAATGGCTACTGGCAGCAAACCTGTAAAATCTCAAATGTTCTTTAAGGGGGTGTGAGTTCTCGAGGTTTGATGAGGGATAGGGGGCTAATATAAGGGCCAAGTTCCAGCACCCATCGTACATCATGTGCGCACACCCGCCGGCCCCCCCGATCGTCGGAACACCAATGCCGCCGGTCAGGTTCTCTGGCGATGCTCCGGCGATGGTGCCCCGATGAAGAAAAATGCGGCACCAGCACATGCCCGAGGCCAACATGTGCTATCACAACCCTCAGTCCGGTCCGATCTTAGACTGGGAATGAACTCCTTATGCTTAGACTGGGAATGAACTCCGTATGCCTAAGTCAACCCATGAAACCAGCGTACGAGCACTCAGTCGCCCAGAGGGGCGAGATGCGCAAGTCGTGGATCGGCCGGGTCCCCCTCTACGTGCTGTCAATCTTACTGCCACAACCCTCAGTCCGGTCTGATCTTAGACTGGGAATGAACTCCGTATGCCTAAGCCGACCGACGAAACGAGCGGGCGGGCACTACGTCGGCCAGAGAGACGGGATGCGTAAGCCGTTGATCGATAGGGTGGCAGGTGGGTTTAGGCACATGTTCATATTTCTATGTTCCAATGCCATTTTTATGGCTTGTAAATTCATACAATGGTCCCTTAAGCCTTCACGTGAAGTTTCATGGCAAGACGACTCGTTTTCTATTTTTCACGATTTTCAAAACTTTTTGCAGTTCTAGATTTTTTAAAATTTTTTCAAAAGGTGTTTTGGCCCCAAACATTTTTAAACGTGATCCTTGTATTTTTGCTGGCATGCACAAAAAATTTTAGCTAAAAACTCGAAGTGTACAAGATTTTGTGACCATTTGAAAAAAGTATCCCCATTTCAGACACTTTAATGGCTACTAACAGCAAACCTGTAAAATCTCAAATGCTTTTTAAGGGGGTGTGAGTTCTCGAATTTTGATGAGGGATAGGGGGCCAACATAAGGGCCAAGTAACAGCACCCGATCGCCGGAACCCCAATGCTGCCGGTTAGGTTCTCCGACGATGCTCCGGCGATGGTGCCCCGACGAAGAAAAATACGGCACCAGCACATGCCCGAGCCCAGCATGTGCTGCCGCAACCCTCGGTCCGGTTTGATCTTAGACTGGGAATGAACTCTGTATGCTTAGACTAGGAATGAACTCCGTATGCCTAAGTCAACTCACGAAACGAGCGTGCGGGCGCTTAGCCGGCCAGAGGGGTAGGATGGGCAAGCCGGGTGTCATGGACTATGCTTTCTCTCAACAAGCAATAGACCGTGCGGCACTCAAATGGACGCTTCCACCCAAGTCAGCCTTTAATAGGTCGATATCTGAACAAAGAACCATAAACCATGGTTAATCCCAAGCATTCGTAATAAGGCACAATATATCGAGATCAATCTCAAGCACACAAACAACAAGGCACATTCGCATCAAGAAAGAAAGAAACACATCGAGGCAACATTCGGGGCATTCAATCGGGGTGAATTTTATTAAAAATGGGAATCATACATCGGGACCTCTCACCATCACCAGGGCCAGGGGGCAGCCCTTGGTGGGTGGCCTAAGCTCACATAGCACCTGTGAGACAGCCCAACACTACGGCTGCTTGTGGATCACGCCCCCCTAAAGAGCCTTCAGGGATTTTCGACTATGCTACTAGTAACCATTACAGATGTTTGAAAATGGGGGACAACTTTTTCTTAGCACAATGGATCTACCCGGCCATGGCCCTATACATGGGTGGCTCATGGCAACCTAAGTCCCTGTCATGGCCCTATATAAGGTTAGGTCATGACATCCTCCCCCACTTATTCTATCGACGTCCTCGTTGACTTGCTGGCTCGAAATTCTTCAATCTTCCTTTGAAATCTCTGGAGGTCGTTCTCTCTCTCCCAGTTGGTTTCTTCTAGGCCTAATCCCTCCCACTTTACTAAGTATTCCCGAACTAGTCTTCGAGATATCTTGGTTTCCCTGTCAGCTAAGATCTCTTCGACTCGATGCTCTGAGGGTGGTTTCATGGTGATGGCGGCTTTGGTTGGCTCCCTTCAGCTAGCATCTATAGGATCTACATGGAACGGCTTCAAGTTGCTCACATGAAATACTGGGTGCACCTTCATCCATTTCGGAGGGTCAATTTTGTAAGAAGCATTCCCCACCTTGGAAAGGACCCTTACTGGACCTTCATATTTGTGCACCAGTCTCCGATCTCTCTTTCTCAAGAACCTAGTCTGTTCAAGAACTAGTCGAACCAAAACCAAATCCCCAACTTGGAATTGCTAAACTCTACGACCCTTGTCTGCCCATTTCTTCATTCCCATTGATGCTTTCTCCAGGTAGGCTTGTGCAATCTTCGTGTTTTGTTTCCACTCCTTGCTGAGGTTGAAGGCTCTCAGATTCTTTCCTCCATATTGTTCCAAAGAAGTGTGGGGTAGCCTTGGTAGTTGTCCGGTGACCACCTCAAATGGGCTCTTATTAGTGAAGAGCTTTTGTTAGAATTAAAGCAGAGTTGGGCAACATCTAATAATGAAGGCCAGTCCTTTTGGTTAGCTTGGACAAAGTGCCTCAAGTATTCCTCTAATAATCCGTTGAACCGTTCCGTTTGGCCATCAGTTTGAGGGTGATAGCTTGAGGAGATGATGAGTTGGGACCCCAAAATCTTGAAAAGTTCTCTCCAAAAGGACCTCGTGAATCTCAGATCTCTATCACTGACAATGCTTTGAGGGAGCCCCTAATATTTGACCACATGTTTGAACAATAGTCGAGTTGTGTCTTCCGTTGTGCAATACTTGTGAGCGGGAATGAATGTGGCTTACTTAGAGAATCGGTCAATCACCACCAAGATAGCTCCAAGATCACCAACCTTGGGTAGGCTCGAGATGAAATCGAGGGAGATGCTTTCCCACGATTTGGTGGGTACCGACAATGGTTCAAGCATGCCTGCGGGTTTCCTCTTTTTGACTTTGTCTTGTTGGCAAATGAGGTAAGTCTTCATATATTCCATCACATCTTGTCGCATTTGAGGCCAATAGTATCCCTGTTTCAATAACGCCAAAATGCGTTGCCAGCCCGGGTGTCCCGTCCATAAGGTGTCATGAGATTCCCTCATCAGCGTCTGTCTCAGACCTCCTGCTCTTGGTACAAACACTCGAGGCCCCTTAGTCCACAAGACCCCATTTTCTTGCCAGAAGTATTTGGACTTCCCTTCTTCCACTAGCTTCAGAATGGCATAGGCTTACGGGTCTTTCCCTAGATGATCTCCAATCAACTTATGAATGCCTGTAGTGGCTCTGCTAGCCACCCTTGGGGCCATTCTTCTAAGGGTCGCTAACTCTGGTCACCTACTCAAGGCATCCGCCACTTGATTGGTCTTTCTAGCGGTATGCTCAAAACAATAGTCAAACTCCGCTAGAAATTCTTGCCACCAGCTTGTTTCACTGTGAGCCTTGGTTGGGTGAGAAAATGGCTAACGGCTGCATTTTCTGTCTTTACGACAAAATACGAACCCAACAAGTAATGTCACCAAGCCCTCAAGCAGTGAACCACCGCAAGGAGCTCTTTTTCCTGGGTCATATATTTCCTTTCAGCTTCGCTCAGCTTCCTACTTTCAAATGCTATCGGGTGATGTTGTTGTAAAAGCACACCTCCAATAGCAAAATCAGATGCATCCGTCTAAACTTCGAAAGGCTTTTCAATATCAAGGAGAGCTAAGATGGGATCCTTCATAATAGCATCCTTCAATCCGTCAAAGGCCTCTTGGCACTCATTCGTCCCAACCACCATTTGGTCTCCTTCTTCAATAGCTCCGTGAGGGCCGTGGTCTTAGCGAGAGTACCCTTCTACAAACCTTCTGATAATAGTTGGCTAGCCCCAAAAATGAGCGAAGCTCACTAACATTCTTCGGTGTTGTCCACTCCTTGATGGCCCTGACTTTTTTCATGTCCATTCGGATGTGGCCACATTCGACAATGTGATCAAGAAAATGGATTTGTGTCTGAGCAAATGCACACTTCTCCTTTTTTACATATAACCGGTGGTCCTGTAACCTTTGAAATACCTAGTGTAGGTGTTCTTGATGTTCTTCCAATATACAGCTATATACCACTATATCATCTAAATAGATGACTACAAATTTGTCTAAGTAGTCATGGAACACCTGATTCATCAATGTACAAAATGTGGCAGGAGCATTGGTTAGTCCAAAGGGCATAACAAGAAATTCAAATGCACCATACCATGTTACACAAGTGGTCTTCGGTTCATCTCCCTCAATGATTCTGACCTGATGGTATCCAGATCTCAGGTCCAGTTTGGAGAAGTACTTAGCCCGGCTCAATTGGTCAAACAAGTCTGCTATTAGAGGGATAGGATATTTGTTTCTTACGATGATTTTGTTCAAGGCCCTGTAGTTAACACATAAGCACAGACTTCCATCATGCTTCTTCTGAAATAGCACAGGCGCTCCGAAAGGAGCCTTTGATGGTCTGATAAATCCAGCTTGTAAAAGTTCATCTAATTGTTTCCTTAGCTCGGCCAACTCTGGCGGGGCCATGCGGTAAGGGGCTCTAGTAGGGGGTTTTGCTCCTGGGAGGAGTTCAATTTCATGGTCCACTGCTCGTCGAGGGGGTAGAACCTGAGGCAATATCTCTGGCATCACCTCTTCGAACTCTTCCAGCACTTTCTTCACGCCATCGGGTATTGGTTCTACTTCTGACCCTTCTTTGTAGATCGGCATGGCCACAAAAGAGGGTTCCCCTCTCCTTACCCCTTTCTTGAATTGCAAAGCCGAAATCATTTTCTTCCCACTCTTTGGCAAGATATTGGCAGGCACCACACATGGGTGTTCCCTTAAGAACAACAAGTAACTAGCAGCGGGGATAGGGATCGCCTGAGCCAACATCATGAAATCCAATCCGAGAACAACATCGAAGTCATCTATAGGGGAGACTGTAAAGTCTACCTTCCTTTCCCACTGCCCCAATTTGGTTATCACACCCTTAGAGCTTCCACTGATCGCAAAGGCTGGCGAATTGACGGCATCTTCATTCATCCACAGTCTTTGTTAACTTGAAGACCACACCTCTTTGCTTCTTCCAGCGTGATGAAAGTATCAGTTGCACCCATATCCACCATGGCTTTGGTGGCCTTCTCATTGATAATTAGGTTCACATACATCAAGCCTCTACTTTGCTCTTTTCTTATAGTGTTCAGTTGGGTGTGGAGGGCATTGAGGAACTTTATTGAGCCCATCCTGGCTGGCTCTCAATCTTTTCAACGCTCTCTGGCACTTTTACCGACTCTTGAGATAAGGTTCTCAAAGCATTAAGGGCTCCTCTATGTGGGCATTCAGCCACCCAATGCGGCCTCTTGCAAAGAAAGCAAGCCAGTGGTTGTCTAGGCTTAAAAGTCACTGCATTGTTTGTTCTGGGTTGGGTGCTATCTCGATCGAAGGACCTCCTATCTGATCCCCCATTGGAAGGCCAGTCTAGCCTAGTCATCTTTCCCCCACTCCCAAAGTTGAAGCTACTGCCAGCTGATGGAGGATTTTTCTTTCAAGGAGCCATCATTATAGTCATGGAGACGTTCAGCTGCAGTGGCCATGGCCACGTCTTGCACTTTTTGTGTTTGTAGTTCTGTTTGGCCCAAGGCTTGAGGCCCTCAAGAAAATAGAACATCTTGTCCTTCTGGACATGTCTCGAATAATCCAACATCAAGGGTAGAGAAGTTTCTTACAAAACCCTTGCACCGTCCCTAATTTGCAACCAATTCTCCGGAGTCTCCTTCGAGCCATATACTCCACATTCTTTAGGGAAAATTGGGTTTTTCATTTCCTGGCTTCAACGTCCTGTCCAAGTCTTAATTGGGCACTCGTCCTTGACAACTTGGAGCCCCAAAAGCTTTGGCATCTCCTCGAGGGTACATCGATGCCATTGCTACCTTGTCTTCCCTCTGCAATCCCGTGTGTATCAGCCCGAAAGTACTGCCCCTGTCAAACAGAAATTTCAAGTTCTTAGCATCCCTTGCCCCCCTCATAACATCAAGGCTCTAGCACATTGGGTCTTTCCCCCTTTCCATCGAGCTTAAGGTCGACCTGGCCACAACCATTTGTAAGATGCTCACCTGTGCTCTGAACTCTTCAAACTCTTTTTGGAGAATATTCAAGGCATCTCTAGCCTCATCGCTCATGTTGTGGAGAGTATCGGACAACTCCCGTTGGGTTGTCTCGATCTCCCTCACTCGGTCTTTAGTCACCATGTGAGTTTTCATTACGGCCACCGCGACCTCCAGTTCCTCAATTCTCTGCTGATGATCAGGTCCACCACTTGTGGCCATCTCATCCATCTTCTAGCACTTCTCAACTGTGCTCTGATACCACGTGTCACGGACTATGCTTTCTCTCAACAAGCAATAGACCGTGCGGCACTCGAATGGATGCTTCCACCCAAGTCAGCCTTCAATAGGTCAATATCTGAACAAACAACCATAAACCATGGTTAATCCCAAGCATTCACAATAAGGCACAATATATCGAGATCAATCTCAAGCACACAAACAACAAGGCACATTCACATCAAGAAAGAAAGAAACACATCGAGGCAACATTCAAGGCATTCAATCGGGGTGAATTTTATTAAAAATGGGAATCATACATCGGGACCTCTCACCATCACCAGGGCCAGGGGGCAGCCCTTGGTGGGTGGCCTAAGCTCACATAGCACCCGGTGAGACAGCCCAACACTATGCTGCCGGCTCACCTCCTCTAAAGAGCCTTAGGGATTTTAGAGCTATGCTACTAATAACCGTTACAATGTTTGAAATGGGGACACTTTTCCTAGCACAATGGATCTACTCGGCCATGGCCATATACATGGGTGGCTCATGGCAACCTAAGTCTCTTTCATAGCCCTATACAAGGTTAGCTTATGACACCGGGGGTCGGCCGGGTCCCTCTCTACGTGCTACTGATCCTGCTACCGTAACCCTCAGTTTGATCTGATCTAAGACTGAGAATGGACTCCGTATGCTTAAGCTAAACGATGAAACGAGCGGGCGGGCGGGCACTATGCCGGCCAGAGAGACGGGATGCACAAGCCATGGATCGATAGGATGGTAGGTGGGTTTAGGCACATCTTCATATTTCTGCGTGCCAATGCCATTTTTATGGCTTGTAAATTCATACAATGGTCCCTTAAGCCTTCACGTGAAGTTTCATGGCAAGACGACTCATTTTTTATTTTTTACGATTTTCAAAACTTTTTACGGTTTGAGATTTTTTAAAATTTTTTCGAAAGGAGTTTTGGCCCCAAACTTGGTAGACATGATCCTTGTAATTTTTTTGGCATGCACAAAACAAATCAGCTAAAAACTCGAAGTGTATAAGATTCTGTGATAATTTGAAAAAAGTGTCCCCACTTCAAACACTTTAATAGCTACTGGCAGCAAACTTGTAAAATCTCAAATGCTCTTTAAAGGGGTGTGAGTTCTCAAAATTTGATGAGGGATAGGGGGCCCAATATAAGGGCCAAGTACAAGCACCCATTGCACATCATATGCGCACACCCCCTCGGCCCCCCCGATCACTGGAACCCCAATGCCGTCGGTCAGGTTCTCCGACGATGGTGCCTCGGTAAAGAAAAATGTGACACCAGCACATGCCCGAACCGTAGCCCTCGTCTGGTCTAATCTTAGACTGGGAATGAACTTCGTATGCCTAAGTCAACCCACGAAACGAGCGTGCGGGCGCTCAACCGCCAGAGGGGCGGATGCGCAAGCCGGGGATCGACCTGGACCCCCTCTGCGTACTGTCGATCCTGCTACCACAACCCTTGGTCTGGTCCGATCTTAGACTGGGAATGAACTCCGTATGCCTAAGCCAACCGACGAAACGAGCGGATGGGCGGGCGGACGGGCACTACGCCGGCCAGAGAGACGGGATGTGCAAGCCATGGATTGATAGGGTGGTAGGTGGGTTTAGGCGCATCTTCATATTTCTGTATGCCAATGCCATTTTTATGGCTTGTAAATTCAAACAATGGTCCCTTAAGCCTTCACGTGAAGTTTCATGGCAAGACGACTCGTTTTCTATTTTTCACGATTTTGGAAACTTTTTGCGGTTCGGGATTTTTTAAAATTTTTTTGGAAGGAGTTTTGGCCCCAAACTTGGTAGAAGTGATCCTTTTATTTTTGTTGGCATGCACAAAAACATTCAGCTAAAAACTCGAAGTGTACAAGATTTTGTGACCATTTGAAAAAAGTGTCCCCATTTCGAACACTTTAATGGCTACTGGCAGCAAACCTGTAAAATCTCAAATGCTCTTTAAGGGGCTATGAGTTCTTGAGGTTTGATGAGGGATAAGGGGCCAATAGATGGGCCAAGTACCAGCACCCATCGCACATCATGTGCGCACCCCCCCGGGCCCTCCCAATCGCCGGAACCCCAATGCCGTCGGTCAGGTTCTCCGGCAATGCTCTGACGATGGTGCCCCGGCGAAGAAAATTAGGGCACCAGCACATGCTCGAGCCCAGCATGTGCTGCCACAACACTCGGTCCGATCCGATCTTAGACTGGGAATGAACTCTGTATGCCTAAGCCAACTGACGAAATGAGCGAGCGGGCGGGAGGACGAGCACTACGCCGGCCAAAGAGAGGGGATGCACAAGCTGTGGATCGATAGGGTGGTAGGTGGGTTTAGGAACATCTTCATATTTCTATGCGCCAATGCCATTTTTATGGCTTGTAAATTCATACAATGGTCCCTTAAGCCTTCACGTGAAGTTTCATGGCAAGATGACTCGTTTTCTATTTTTCACGATTTTTAAAACTTTTTACGGTTCAAGATTCAAATTTTTTTGAAAGGAGTTTTGGCATCAAACTTGGTAGACGTGATCCTTGTATTTTTGTTGGCACGCACAAAAAAATTTAGCTAAAAACTCGAAGTGTACAAGATTTCGTGACCATTTGAAAAAAGTGTCCCCATTTCAAACACTTTAATGGCTACTGGCAGCAAACCTGTAAAATCTCAAATGCTCTTTAAGGGGGTGTGAGTTCTCGAGGTTTGATGAGGGATAGAGGGCCAATATAAGGGCCAAGTACCAGCACCCATCGCACATCATGTGCGCACACCCCCCCGGTATCCCCGTTCGTAGGAACCACAATGCCATCGGTCAGGTTCTCCGGTGATGCTCCGACGAAGAAAAATGTGGCACCAGCACATGCCCGAGCCCAGCATGTGCTATCGTAACTCTTGGTCCGGTCCGATCTTAGACTGGGAGTGAACTTCATATGTTTAGACTGGGAATGAACTCCGTATCCCTAAGTCATCCCACGAAACGAGCGTGTGGGCGCTCAGCCAGCCAGAGGGGCGGGACGCACAAGCCAGGGATCGGTCGGGTCTCCCTCTAAGTGCTGCCGATCCTGCAGTTCATTCACGTGAAGTTTCATGGCAAGATGACTCATTTTCTATTTTTCATGATTTTTGAAACTTTTTACGGTTCAGGATTTTATAAAATTTTTTTGGAAGGTGTTTTAGCCCCGAACTTGGTAGACATGATCCCTGTATTTTTGTTGGCATGCGCAAAAAAATTCAGCTAAAAACTCGAAGTGTACAAGATTTTGTGACCATTTGAAAAAAGTGTACCCATTTCAGACACTTTAGTGGCTACTGGCAGTAAACCTATAAAATCTCAAATGCTCTTTAAAGGGGTATGAGTTCTCGAGGTTTGATGAGTGATAGGGGGCCAATATGAGGGCCAAGTACTAGCACCCATGACACATCATGTGTGCACAGCCCCCGACCCCCTCGATCGTCGAAACCCTAATGCCGCTGGTCAGTTTCTCCGGCAATGCTCCGACGATGGTGCCCCGACAAAGAAAAATGCGACACCGACACATGCCTGAGCCCAGCATGTGCTGTTGTAACCCTCGATTTGGTCCGATCTTAGACTAGGAATGAACTCCGTGTGCTTAGAATGGGAATGAGCTCCGTCTGCCTAAGTTAACCCACGAAACGAGTGTGTGGGAGCTCAGTCGACCAGAGGGGCAGGATGCAT